CTGTATGGGAAACAAAAAAAGAAAAAAGGTGAAAGATGGGGTTGCGGGTTCACGTGACGGTATGAAGGGTTTTTGTGCATGTAAATTATGTGCAGCTTATGGCCGAGCTAATCTGCGATCAGGCTTTCTTTTTTCGTCACTACCTCACTACATCAGCTAGCGTCATGCACTTGCTGTCATCGTGTTCTTAGTCTCGTAAAAGAATTAAAATGAAAGTGCTGTCGAAAACGAAGACCTAAACAAGGAAGCGAAATACAGAGACCCAATAACTTGAAAACAAGGTGTTTTTTGTTTTCGTGTTCTGGGTGCTTCGTTTTCATTTTCAGGTGCTTGGCACTTCACATCTTCTTTTTAGTGCGAGGGCTGTCCACAAGGGCGGTAACCCATAACAACTGCTGTGGCTGAGCATGTTTGGACCCTTGATGCTTCGGGTGAACTTGGCAGTTGTTGATACAATTCACGTATAAAGTAGCAAGTTTGCTTTGGGTGTTGAGATCGAGGATACAACTTAAAGACAGCCCAGAGAGTGATTCGTTTACGACACTACCGGCCGTAAACTCTTTCCAATCGGAAGTCTTTAAGATATATTTAAACCTGATCTTCAAAATGATAGAGATCTAATAGTTTAGCAAAGTGACAAAAACACCAAAGGGATACTGAAATAAAGCTAAAAAGACGATCGCGCGGTTAAAATTGTTGAAAACTGAGATGGACTGCGAATCGTGTTCTTGATGAAATTAACTTTAAACCGAGTTTTGAAAATGCGCTTTCCTTGACGTAACCCCACAGATCGAGTGTAAGCTAAGTGAAATAAAACTTTTAACTTATTCTTGTTTGGTTTCACCTTTTTTTTTGTTGTAACCTCTTCGTTGTTGACTATAACGTCGCACAGTATAGTCAAGTGTCGCCTTGCAGACACCCGCTATTACGAACAGAAGCTACATCCCCGGCCAAAACTACAAAGAAAGGTTTGGAAACAATTACAAAAAGAAACTGGAAATCGTGAAAGAGTATAGCAGAACAGTACGTGACACCATTGTTAGTAGAGGGGACATCGAAATATTGCCATCACACTGCGCTATTGCGGACTCTCGCTATATAGGCGGACACCGAATGACGGTCCCGAGGGTGACCGGTATAAAGGGTGCAAGGATTGAAAATCTCAGTATTGAATTGCGTCAGCGGGCAAGTGAACTGAAAACTTAGCCATGTATCAAATTGAAGTTGAATAAGGGAAATTGGTCACCCCAGCAAGTTTGTCAAATCGACAGGTAGCTAAGTTACTTAGACGGAACTTTATAGTAGCTTGGTAGGGAAACTTTTTATATTAAATTTTGCAAGTTTTTCGAGCAAACTTACATCAGTTGCAAAGGTGCGCTGAAAAGAACGAAAAATTTTGGCTTAAATGCCAAACACCAGTCAATTCTTCCCCATGAATACAATTGTAATTAAATTCTCACTTCGTCTCAATACTCTGCAACACTGACCACCAGTTGACCACCACCAGCAGAAGTAGCAGCAGCATCAACAACATGTATTAGCAACAATGGTAGACTATTCCTGTTCACGAGGAATTACTGACTTAGAGCAACGAAAGTTATATAAGGAGTTGTAGTNCTATATCTTTGAGCCCTTATGACCACATACAAATTCTCCTTAACTGCATACTGGTCTTGATACATTTCTTGTAGAATGAGTTGGGCAAATTTGAAGAAAAAACAGAAAACCAGTAAAAGAGGAGAGAGATGGAGGAACAAACAAGATCCTTATTAAAAAAACTTCACCTCATTTATTCTTCTTTTGATAATTTTCTCAGAACATGATCTCCATGTGAAGCAAGTTATTGCAAAAATGCCCAGATAATATGGCATAACATTTCTAGCTGCAAATGATACAAAAAGCAAAATTACAGCAAGTGGTTGATCTATACAGTTCATATTATAAAGCATAATACATGAAGCATTGTCAAAATCATGCATAATTTACGATTATGCACTATAGACTGAAATTCTTTGAAGATGGTTTACAAAGGTCTTGTACCACTACTCCAGCATCAATTACACTTGCACTGTTATCATGATAGTGTTTCACCTTTTGTCACCTGTAAAAACAATGAAATTACGATCAACATCTACATGTAACACCTTGCAATTAAATAATAAGTCAAATCATTCTCGCATTTTGATTTGCTCTTATAACCAACTGGAGGACAGACACATGTGACATAAAACTTATCAGCGGAAGGAAACACTATGTAAAACAAATTGATATAAAACAAAATAATGGATTTCCAAGTTGCCATGCATCTGTTCAGTAACTGATTATCACAGAAGATGCCAAAATGTGATAAGAACATCAGTGACAAACTTGGCTATCACCTTGTGTGCCACTTATTTTGATGTCATCTGTGATTAATTACTGAACAGATCTGTGATTAATTATTACTGAACAGATGCATAGCAACATGGAATCTATTTGTTTTAAAAATTGTGAAGCAAACAGTAGGCTCGATTTCTGCCACTCTCTTGGGTCCTATTCCTGAAGGTCTTCAGCAGAAGAGCATGGTTCATTTTTTCAAACAATGGCTGGTAATCAAGCCTAGCTAGACAGGTGATGAGAATGTAATAATTTCCATCACTGTAAACTTCTATGTTACAGAGCATTGTTCATTATTAAGAAAGCTTCATTATGGAGGCAAGCCGGGAGCCTGACTGGTGAGCAGTTTGGTGTGGTGAGGTAGGATCCTGTATGTTTTCCATTTATGTGGATAGGTTTTTTCTTAGCTCCCTGGGTACCAACATGATGAGACTGTTCAATTTAAAGATGTGCACTCCTGTTATTTGAAAATGTAGAGAACTTTTACAGCTGGGCCCTCAAAATATCTATTGTGCTCCAACAACTTCCTGTTGTGTTTTAAGATGACGTAATACATATATATTTAAGCTTTTCTACTCCTTTTCACAAATTAGCTAAATAATAAGGTCTGACATATAATTTGATTCCAAAGCTGCATATGAATAGGTAGGCCAGATGCTGTTTGATACATACTCTGGCTTCAATATATTCTACTCGCTGCTCCAGGGATGTCAGTTGTTCATTTATCTTTGCTAATCTTGATCTACATGACATGTCTGAAAAACAAAAGGTTGAGAAAAAAATTGGTTTTTAGAGGAACCAGGCTACAGGTATAACAGCTAGTTTCCTATACTGTACGAAAATAGATGTCTAGCCTGCTTGGCAGGCATTCAAGTCTAGTGTGTGTGAAAAATATGGAAAAAACTAAGCGTGGCTTTTATTAATACATACATAGTTATTTAAGAAATAGAAAACATGTTCCGTGTTTCTATCGAGTTTTAGTAGAAATCTACTAGTGTTCTATCACGAATGCCGTCTCTGATTGGCTATGCTACTAACTATCTATTCTGTGATAGATAGTGAGTAGCGTAGCAGTGTGCCCTTGTTAACAAAATGACGGCCACTTCTTTGCATTTTCTGTGAAGAGGATTTACATGTAGATCAAGTTTTGAACGACTAGTAGATTTATACGAAAACACTTAGATTATTTGCTCTTGATTACTTGTAATTGATTTTATCTCTTATCTCTTGTATTTTTATTCATTATATTATTTCATAGTTATGCCATAGTTTTAACATCCGTATTGTACAGAATTTTTAGAGGGCCACTGGTTTGTTAGTATTTTTATACTATTTTAGTGCTACCCTCTTTAAATAAAGTCTTTACTTACTTACTTACTATTTCTATCACATGATAGAAATCTCGAGCTCATAATCTAATTGTTTAATAGCAACACGAGTGAAAGTTTGGGAGAACGAGAAATGCTGTGGGAACACGTGCCACAGGCAAGTGTTTCCACAGCTTTTTCAAGTTCTCCCAGACTTTCACAAGTGTTTCTATAACCCGATAGAAACACGGAGAACATGTTTCTTTTAGAAAACACCGCGATGAAAAAAAGGAAAACGGCCTGTTAACTTTGACCATCAAAATGTAAATTCTCTTCACTCATGTCATCATTACGTCAACGGCTCGTGCTAGTTCTGTGTTTCTATTGAGTTATAGAAACATGATTTTAAACCTATCAGCCCGCGTATTTTCTTAGGGCTGTTTTCTTAACATACATAGTTTATTTAACAAAGCAGGTTGATACTGAACATTAGGCAAGACTTAAGTCCTGATGTGAAAAAGGTCTGTCAGGGAACCAGGCTTTAATAGGGAAAAGAACTGTCTTGCACTAAACGCATGAGTGGATGATGCTTATACACCTTAGTTAGTATCAAGGTAGAGAATATAAACACTGGTGGGAAATGATAACACTCAAGTAGGCAGGACAACTAAACAAAACCTGGAATGTACTCTAGTCCTATCACAAGCATGCTACATGTAAATTCATCATCTAAAATAAATGCACATCGGATTCTTTCAGAGGAAACTATACAACGAACAAGCAGACTGTCAAAACCAGTGGTAAAACACTCGGTATAGTTGATCAAAGAGTGGAAAAGATTCTTTAATAACTTACTGAGTTGAATAGAAACACAAACATGAGGCACAATTGTTGATGTAGTTTCGCCGAATTTCGTGTGATCAGTTACATATCGACTATAATTTTAACTCACCGAAGTCATTAAGGAATTCCGCGATCTTTTTAATTCCTTCAGAGACTATTTCTATGAACTCTCTGTTCTCCCAATCCTGCTGAATTTGTTGCTGAACTTCAGTACTCATGGTGTATGTTTTCGCGAAAGAAAATATTCAAGCAGCTCGAGCCTTCTATTTTCTGTCAGCGGGCTGTATTTTTGTTTGACACACATGCGCACTTTCAATGTATATCCAGACTTCCCCCGGCAGACAAACATGGCTGCCATTTTCATGCAAATGATTGCAACTAAATATATTTTCTCTTTTTTGAACTTTTCCACGTGCGGAGTAGAAAGGTGAGTAAATATTTAATGAGGCTCTTTGAACAAACGAGTTCCTTGGAGCATTGTCTTGGGTTTCCTTTAGCGGTGAAGCAATTTTGGGACATATTTTGCGCCTGGGTTTTGCGCGCGCTTTATAATTCGAAAAATTTCTTATGAATGATAACTGAAAATTTAAACTTAAGTCTGTTAAAAGCGCCAATAATGCTTAATTTCTGCAATCCTGTCTTTTAAGAAGCTTAGATTTTTTGTAACGTGAATTTGGTTGTAAATGCACCTCATAAATGGTCATAAATCGGATGACAACTTCAGACCGCACGCATCGCGTCGTGCGTGGAAGACGTTACCTCGCGTGGTGATCTTCCTGAAAATCCTGGGAAATCTCCTGACTTTTTTCAAAGGTATGCACATTGTTGTTTTCTATAATTATGTAATGCCTTGCTAATCCCCATGCAAACATTGTAGCATTTCAACCGGCGAAAAATTACACGGTCTTAGCAGGAAGAGCGTTTTAAATTTCATTTACGGTTTTTTACCCCTTGTAAAAACTTGAGCTTGGATTTGGTTTTGTCACCCAGGAAACTTTCAAAATTTGGTCGGTATTGGTTTTGTTAACAGTAAGAATCCTGTATGGGAAACAAAAAAAGAAAAAAGGTGAAAGATGGGGTTGCGGGTTCACGTGACGGTATGAAGGGTTTTTGTGCATGTAAATTATGTGCAGCTTATGGCCGAGCTAATCTGCGATCAGGCTTTCTTTTTTCGTCACTACCTCACTACATCAGCTAGCGTCATGCACTTGCTGTCATCGTGTTCTTAGTCTCGTAAAAGAATTAAAATGAAAGTGCTGTCGAAAACGAAGACCTAAACAAGGAAGCGAAATACAGAGACCCAATAACTTGAAAACAAGGTGTTTTTTGTTTTCGTGTTCTGGGTGCTTCGTTTTCATTTTCAGGTGCTTGGCACTTCACATCTTCTTTTTAGTGCGAGGGCTGTCCACAAGGGCGGTAACCCATAACAACTGCTGTGGCTGAGCATGTTTGGACCCTTGATGCTTCGGGTGAACTTGGCAGTTGTTGATACAATTCACGTATAAAGTAGCAAGTTTGCTTTGGGTGTTGAGATCGAGGATACAACTTAAAGACAGCCCAGAGAGTGATTCGTTTACGACACTACCGGCCGTAAACTCTTTCCAATCGGAAGTCTTTAAGATATATTTAAACCTGATCTTCAAAATGATAGAGATCTAATAGTTTAGCAAAGTGACAAAAACACCAAAGGGATACTGAAATAAAGCTAAAAAGACGATCGCGCGGTTAAAATTGTTGAAAACTGAGATGGACTGCGAATCGTGTTCTTGATGAAATTAACTTTAAACCGAGTTTTGAAAATGCGCTTTCCTTGACGTAACCCCACAGATCGAGTGTAAGCTAAGTGAAATAAAACTTTTAACTTATTCTTGTTTGGTTTCACCTTTTTTTTTGTTGTAACCTCTTCGTTGTTGACTATAACGTCGCACAGTATAGTCAAGTGTCGCCTTGCAGACACCCGCTATTACGAACAGAAGCTACATCCCCGGCCAAAACTACAAAGAAAGGTTTGGAAACAATTACAAAAAGAAACTGGAAATCGTGAAAGAGTATAGCAGAACAGTACGTGACACCATTGTTAGTAGAGGGGACATCGAAATATTGCCATCACACTGCGCTATTGCGGACTCTCGCTATATAGGCGGACACCGAATGACGGTCCCGAGGGTGACCGGTATAAAGGGTGCAAGGATTGAAAATCTCAGTATTGAATTGCGTCAGCGGGCAAGTGAACTGAAAACTTAGCCATGTATCAAATTGAAGTTGAATAAGGGAAATTGGTCACCCCAGCAAGTTTGTCAAATCGACAGGTAGCTAAGTTACTTAGACGGAACTTTATAGTAGCTTGGTAGGGAAACTTTTTATATTAAATTTTGCAAGTTTTTCGAGCAAACTTACATCAGTTGCAAAGGTGCGCTGAAAAGAACGAAAAATTTTGGCTTAAATGCCAAACACCAGTCAATTCTTCCCCATGAATACAATTGTAATTAAATTCTCACTTCGTCTCAATACTCTGCAACACTGACCACCAGTTGACCACCACCAGCAGAAGTAGCAGCAGCATCAACAACATGTATTAGCAACAATGGTAGACTATTCCTGTTCACGAGGAATTACTGACTTAGAGCAACGAAAGTTATATAAGGAGTTGTAGTCGTCCGCTCTAGTGTTTTTCATGTAGAGGTAGAGCTGCTATAAACAATTTAAAAAACTCGTGATAAAAAAAATTTTTGGCAAGGTTTTCTTGGCTCATTTCGGAAAGAATTTCTATTCGTGTTAATCGTCCGAAGTTCGGACAAGCGGCAATTTTCAGGTGGCGAGTATAGGTAGAATATGGCCACAGGTACCGTTTTTTTGAACGCGAAACGGACCTTACAAGTTAGCGTCTTTTAGCTCAAAATTCTAATTTGTATTTTTTTTTTGCAAGAACGACATGACATTACAAGACCGACATAACATGTACAGCATTTTTTGTTTGAATTGTCTCAAGACTAAAAAGGGTTATTTGCGGAAGTGCCTCGGATCAGTGATTTTATAAATTCGTGGAAAAGTGCTGATTACTAAACTCCAAATTTCCGCTTTTTCTTCATATCTTTAAAGAAGCTCTGTTACATTTTCCGGTTGGCAGTTTGATTGCACTTCGATCTGCTCTATGGACTCCATGCTTCCGCGAGTCCACCTGTTTTATCATTGGTCAATGGAGGTAAACATCGAACATGTAAATTAGCATGCCTAAATAATCACTCAGTACTCGAGGGCCGGTTGCAGTAAGAAAACTTGAAGAGGTTCGTCTTTTTTGACCCTCCTCTTCTTGAGAAGTATTTAAATACCTCCATTGCGCCGAGTTCAAGTGAGGCCCTCCAACAGCAGCTATGGCGAAGCCAGTGCGGATGGCCGAAGTGATCAGGACATCTCTCCTGCTATGCGTGATCTTGTTGCCGTCGGTTTTAATAGCTAGACGATGCGACAGACAAGTCGATAGCCTTGTATGGAGTAACTGCCTTGAATGTTCAGTGAATGCTTTTCTTCCAAACCCTTGCCCATCGGGTTATACTCAGATTACAAGTGGCGAAGGAGTACAGCGTTGTTCGTATCTAGTACACTTTGGCTTCAACTTCGGTCTTATGAGCGTGCCTGGATGTCAGCATAATTGTAGGCGAAAAGTCACACAGAAGCAGTGTTGCGAAGGGTTTTGGGGAACGGATTGTCAAGGTATTCTAACTGTAAAAGTTTTAGTTAAGCCATGTTAACGCCATACGATTTGACTACACGCACAAATCAAATCGCAATTAGCTTTGTCTCGCCCGTGAAAGAAATGTAAACATGGGCTAATTTGGGAGGTTTGCTTGCTAGTTGTAATTCACTAGGCATTTTTGGCTTGCTGCTAGAAAGTCGATATTGGTTTGGGAATGTTATTGCCCTCACGAAAAAAAAATATTATTAATTGCTGTGAGCGGCTGTAAGTATTGAAGTTTGGCGCGAAGGGATCTCGTTACAACATTTCGCGGGATTTGAACATACAGCGATTTCATTCACGTATAATAATTTTGTGTTGGAATAAGGATTAAATTTTTTTTATATGTTAACCGTTGAAAAGCCAATACGACTCAGTGAAAACTGTTAACGAAGACGTACTAAAAGATATATTGAGTTCCGTATTTTATTTGCCACAAATTGTTCGAAAGCTTGTTACAATGTTGAATTGAAGCTTTGTATTTGCAGTTTTTTAATTGCGCGTTGCATAAGAAAAACGCCTCAAAAGATAGTCAAAAATGAATGAAGTAGCAGGTAGAGATGTCTTGTTTACTCAGACATTCAAATTGTGAATTAAAAACTACAAACACATGTTATGCGGCATGGTTGAACGTGCTGTACACGTAGTCTGTTACTTGTAGCAAAATTAAATGCGCTTTGTACGGCCAGTTGTTTCTCTGATAAAGAATTCTGCTATTTTTGTGATATTGAAATACGACGTATAAGCTTGCAAATATCCCGCACCCGAATGAAACAGTTCACGTTTCTGTCAATATCGGATTTGTATTTCGCTTCTTTTGGTTTATATCGGAAATATAATTTAGAGAATGCAAAAAAATATGAGTTGGATTTCCATTTTAAACAGCTGTAATATCTTTCCTGGTTACGCATGATCTGCAGTAATTTGATGTTTGCAGCAAATTGTAATCATTAAAACTGTGACGCAAATTGGAAATGCGAAGAACGATGATCTCAGTAGCGATATAGCTTGGATACAGGAAGTGCATCTTCTATTTTAAGAAGCTGGCAAAAATGAAGTTCCTTTATTTTGGACATAGTACACGTGGTTACATATATTTGGTAATATAACTCTATAATAATCGGTTATTATCAGTAAGACCTTTATATTCATGTCAGGTTTAATTTTCAATAACAAAAATAAAAAGCTTTAATACTTTTGACCATCATCTCATCTTTTCATTGTTAGTTTAGACACCTGCTAAATGAAGTAAACTTGACAAAACATTGCTTTATGAACGCAGTAGGTCATGATCCAATTAGCAAATCACTGTGTCACAACGACTATGCATTGTTTCACTGGATTCATTGTTTTGACAAGCAATAGGTTTCTTTTGTCTTAATAATCTCCATAAGACGCGGCCAAAAAGTAACTTTTTACATACCTTACATCTGGAAATTGAAGCAAAAACCAGCAGACAAATATAGGACTGTCAATGTTTAACACAGGTAAACAAACCCGCATGCCCAATTTGAAGTGTTTCAGACAAGGTTCATTTTTGACCAAAAATTGCTAAGCACGTCTCTTTTCTTCTGAGTCCTTCAAATGTTCTTCTTATATGTTGTCATAGCTTGTCCTGGTGTACCTGCCTGCAATGGGCGTGGTTCCTGTAGTGACAGTATCAGTGGAAATGGATTGTGCACTTGTGAGGTAAGAATGGAACAACTGTCAGTTGTTAAGTCAGATACATCAGGAAATGGAGAGGGTCAGGCTTACATGTGAGTGGTTGTTACGTTGGGTTCCTGAACAAGAGCTCCACATTAATTTTGATCTTGGTCAGGTAACTTGCTAAAGTATTCCAATTATTGGACCCTGAGCTAGGTACTTTACTCTCACAATGAATTATTATTGCTTTTATCCACCTGGAAACTCAACTATAACCAGATGCAGATCCATACTGGTTTCCACCGTTTTACAGAAATTGGTCAGATTTTTTAGAATGACTCAGAAACCCAGGGAAGGGGAGTCAGAATGCAAACCATTTCCTGGGGGAGCAGGGCCCTTGACCTCTCTAGAAGCTTGCGCCTTCACCACTTGATGTTTCAGACATCAGTCATCTAATGTCCTAGATCCATACCTAGATCACTGGCTAAAAGAAAGTATTTCCTGACAAGGCAACCTGACAATTTTAGAAGGGATTAAGGTACAGCTGACTAATTCAGTAGGCTTAGCAGATTCCCGATCATGTATACTAAAGGCATCTACAGTCAAGTTTCAATCGATGCCCTTGATTGACACTCCATTGATACTCGATTGACACTCCATCGAGGCTCCATCAACATTTCAGTCGACATCTCTGTCGATAGTCAACTAATTTTCGATCAATGCATATGAGTTGGTCAACACTTGGCTGACTATCGACCGACTGTTAATCAAGTGTTGACTGAGTATCAATTGGGATGTCGATCAAGTACCAATCAAGACGTTGATCAAGGCTACTGATCAACACTTGATAACAGATGCTTTTAGTGCACGTGATCCCAGAAACCTATATTAACAAAGTCATGCAAATCTAGGGTACTTGAGCTACATAGTGATCAATATGAGTCAGTGAAATGCTGCCAGTGATAAGGTACCAGACCCTTGTTATGCTGTAGACTAGAAAAGATTTTGAAACCTTGAATAATATAGAGCATGTATAAGTTACATTCTCTGTCAGGCCCTGTAGCTGGTGATACTGGTTTGTTATTCTTGAAGGTCAGAAAATAAATGCAATGTGTGCCCAGTATATGGTAAAATGTTGACCTCCCGAAAAATACATTATTGCACCAGTTTGCAACAAATTAATATGACCTCCACTATAGACCTCCACTCCCTGACCCCATAAGCTAATTCAGGTGGAAGCTACAAGCATGGTTATTATCATGTGTGGAATGCTTTATTTTATTAATGAAGTTTTTTTGTGTGTGTTTGTCTATACCAGAATGGCTTTCAAGGATTTGCTTGTGAACTATGCAAAGACTCAAACATGTTTGGCAGTTACTGCAATGAAAGTAAGACATTAGTGTTATCAAATTATACTGTCAGTAGAACCCACATGCTGTCTCAAGTTTTTTGTGCCTTGATTCCACTCAAATATGTTTGTCCATGAAAGAAAATAAACAGTAATTGATCCTTATCTTTCTAATATAATCATCTTTGGCTGGTCAGCCTGGTCTTTGAAGGTTTTTTACCAACGTAGGTCAGAATAACTTTCTCAGAATTTTCCTCCAAGGTAACTTTGGGTGAGTACAATGGAATTCCAGGGATATTGTCTTTCTGAAGAAACAAACAAACAACAACAACAACAACAACAACAACAACAACAACAACAAACATAACATGACATAACATAACTGTTTATTCACAATTCAAATTCAAATTCAAATGAAATGAAATTAAAGGTGAAAAGGAGACAAAAGAGGTTATCCCTTTTGAGGATGTCTCCTAAAATAATAAAAAATGCAAATTTACATCTGTGAATAAAATTCACAATAAAAAGTTCAAAGATTTCCTAAAACATTAGTAAAATGGCATCTGAGCCTGTTCTTGAAAATGTTCATAGTTTCTGCCTCCACAACGTCTTTAGGTAAATTATTCTAATTGTTCACTATATTTACAAAGAAAAAATACTTAAAACTATTTAGCTTAGCAGGTAATGGTTTAAGTTTGCGGCAATGGTTGGCCCTTAAAGGTCAAAAATCATGTGCAAACTTAAAATTCTCAAATGGGTCTAGTCTGTTAAGATTGTTAATCGCCTTATAGTAAGTGAAGAAATTAACTGCTAGTCAGCGTTTCTCAACATTTATGTCAGCGTAAGCTACAGTTTTTCCAGTAATTAAGTTAGTCCATTAACTATTTTAAATGTAGATCATAATTTAGATGAAAAGTGTTGAGGCCCCTCTAACAATTGCAACCTACAGTAACACTGAAAAAAATTCCAAAACATGTGGAAAAGCTTATTGCTTTTTGCATTTGTTGGTGACTGGGATATTATTTCATTTCAGCTTGTCTCTGTAAACATGGGGAGTGTGACAGTGGGTTGAATGGCACAGGACACTGCAAACCAAATACTTGCCTCTTGGGGTATACTGGGCCAGACTGTAACATAAGTAAGTTGTGCCTGTCTTATTAAGCCAGTGACATGTTAGGGTGGCTGTAGTACTTGTTACTAATAAACAGTCTGATTTGAAGTAGCTTTGTAGCTGAGAAATAAAATTTAATAAGTATGCTAGTTTTGTTTGCATATCATTTTTGGCCTAGTTTGCCTCCTCCTGTTTCCATGCAGGTTAATTACTTGAATGGGAAATACTTTGGCAATATATATATATGTTTCTCCTTCCCACAAGTACATTGTTCTTGCTAGAACAATGTACATTATAAATAATATATTTATTAAAATAATCTATTACAATAAGTAAAGAGGTCTTCACACAATAATCACGATATATTTTTCTTAATTTTTTAGGGTTGCCTAGCTGTGATAAGAATCTTACATGTGGAGTAAATGCTGATTGCTTTAAAGTCAACAACACTGATACTTGTATTTGTGACCCAGGATTCAGGAATACCAGCAATACATGCACTGGTAAGTGTCCTGTGGAGTGGAATATGCTTACAAGTACAAAATTACCATAGGTGAGGAAAAAGGCAGGAAAAATTCAGGGCAATTTTTTTTT